GTTTATGCAAATAAGAAAGAAAGAAAATTATATTTATGTATTTTGTGTGTGTGTGTGTTTTTTTTTTTAACAAAACCGATTAATTACACGAACAAAAAATTGTCCGTATAAAAACGTCGGCTTATTTTTCCTCGCAAGATTATCTTTTGTGAATATAACACGCAAATTAATTTATTTTGCAATTATTGTTAAGCAGGTAATAACGCGCGATAAAAAATAACTCTCTTTTTCAATTCTCCCGCATCGACTTGTTCCTCGGAACGTTTTGCCGCGGCTATTCTTTTTAGAATAAAACTAATTTCGCGCAAGAACCGTTCCTTTGTAATCGAATAATTCCTAATCCATATGTGGGCCTTACGTACATAAAGAATGATTCTCAGCAACTCGCGCGTATGCGAATATTGACGGCCCGCATCGCGGTGCGATATGTAACAAACAGAGCTCGCAACCGCGTTCCAAAAATTGCATTATACCCCGTAAAAATTACGCGCGCCAAAATCAGTCGAAAGAAAGAAGATTCCTTGAAATTTTCTCGCGATCATTCGCGCGCGCGTTATTGAACGGAAACTAAAGGTCGCCGAGGTTTGAACTCTTCGGTTTGTACCTTGAATCGTTGCGCGTACACACACATGTGTGGATCCTGTGCACAGGTAATTCTGGTGGAGGGGGCGGTGAGATCGTTGGCGGAGAGAATGAGGAGTTCGGGGGGAGACAGGGGGAGAGAGAGAGACCCTGGAGGGCCCGTGGAGAGACGGGGCACTATATGTAGAGAACGGTGCACCAGTTATTTATCGTAGCTCCCGTTTATGCTTTATTTGTTATTTGCTTGCCTGGCTCTCTCGGCTGCCTCGCCCAGACTGGCAGCCCGTGCAGATAGAGGTACGCCGCGCTCATCTACGTGGAACACCTACATTATCCGCCCCTACGGGCTCGCGCGACTATTCACGATAATGAATCTATTTCGCGTAATTAGACGTGCTAAGAGAATCATTTAAATTACGAGCCTGTTAAAAATTTCTAACAATTTCTCTCTCTCTCTCTCTCTCTCTCTCTCTCTCTCTCTCTTTCTCTTTCTCTCGTGGAATTGCACAATTCCACGTTATTAACTTAATTATTTGATTATACAATCAAACGCATAATGCGTGTACGGGGACTGCTGATTAAAAGAAAGCGATTTTTTTTTGTTACTATTAGCGCTGTTGTTCCGCAAAGATGCGCGTTGATTAATTAAGCGTTTTTCTTTGCCGCATTGACAGACGCGGTCGTTAAAAATCAAGGATATCAATATTACTCACGTATCGTGGCGCGATAGTGAAGCTTAATTAAATTGTATTTGCACAAAATTGATGAGTACAGATATCGGCGAGGCCGTTAAAACCGCTGTCCGTAAACGTATGTCGAACAGGTGCAGACGCGGCGGCGTCGGCTAACGTGGCACATGTGTGTGCCACGGCGGGGCGATAATTGTTAAAGTCATAAATTGTTATAATTAGTAAGGAGCTCGCCGGAGTAAAATTTCGGAGGCCGAAATGCGGCATTTCATTAAGATGGATCGAGACAACGTAGCACACGTAACACACGCTCGTTTTTTTTTTTTTTCCTTCAAGAAGACGTGTACCACCTTATCGAATTTTAACGTCCGGCGTTGAAGCGATAGCGACTCGCCGAAGCAATTAATTAATTTCTCGAGTTCTTCGAGAAGTCCGCGAAAATGCAACCTAAATCAAATTGTAACATCAACGTTTGGAAATTAATAATCTCAAAGTAACAAGAACGTCGACGTCCGATTTTCTGAAACATTTAGTCCCCGCTCGGCGGAGAGAAGCTCCATATTACAAATTGTATATTACATTCGAAATGAATAAGCGGCGCCAATTGTGGAAAATTTATTATGTACCTTGTAATTGAGACTGCGAAAACACGGTTCTATTCAAGTACGTATCAGTATCCCAAGTTAAAACGAGTAAGTAAGCGATATTTATCTGTCTTAGCTGTGGCTACCGGTGGAAGATAAAAGGCGCTCTCTCTCTCTCTCTCTCTCTCTCGTAAGCGACAAAGTAGTATTCCGTAAAGTTTCGTACTTGTGCCCGGCGCGTCTTCACCGAAGCTTGAAACGCGCGGGCCTGATGTTCGCCCCATTACCAATTACCAATCTCGCGCGAGCACATCATACGTTTACGTCGCGCTCACGTCGTTAATGGTCATTTTCTCCACGATGTGTAATGAAGGCACCTCGGACGACGACGACGACGGCAAGGCAAGGTGGCCGCGGCGCGTCGATGTCAAACACACAGGAGAATTAAAAGAGAACCGACAACGACGAGTGTACATCGGGGAGGTGGGGAGGGGTGAGGGGACCGGGGGAATCCCAAGGAGAGAAGGAAGGGGGGAATGGAAGCGCATCTTCGGACACGATGAAGAGGCGGAAGGGGGTAAGTATATAGGGGGAGGGAGGGGGGGGAAGGGGGAAGGAGACGAGAGTCGAAGACACTGCGAGAAAGAGAGAATAATGCGTTAAAGCAGCAACCAGCAACTACTCTAATTGGCCACTTTGTCCATTTATTCGATTTATTTAAATTATGGGACAATTGACAGTAGGCATTCTATTTTTTAAATCTCCCCGGCCAACCGGCTGATTGGGCGAGATTGGCGTGAGACACTGGCCCCACAGATTCCCCAGTTGTGGGCTTAATCAGCTTTGATTGCTACCATCTCTCTCTTGCTCTCCGTCGTTCTCTCTCTCTCCCTCCTCGCGTCCTGTCTCTCTCTCTCTCTCTCTTTCTCTCTCTTTCTCTCTCCCCCCGTCCGTATCTCTTTCTCTCGGCGCGTTTTCTTTCTCTTTCTCTTTCCACGTACGCATACATCCACGTCTCCGTCCTTCTCTCTCGCGCGCACCCGCAATTCTCTCTTTCTCTCCCGTTTAGATTTACCCTTTTGCCTTCGGCTCGCGTATCTTTTTCTTTTTCTCTCTTTCTTCTTCTTTAGAATATTCCGCTTATATAGTCGCGCGAACGACGTATACGACACACACACACGTATACATATATTTTATTTTATTTCCATTTCGCCGCGGATCCCACCACGTATTTAATATCGTCCGGCCGACGTTGATTGGCCGATCCGAAATTGTGGGAATATGTCACTGGACGAGAAAATCCAACGGAGGCCGCCCACACACTCTCTCTCTTTCTCTCTTACTTGATAATTCTCCCCGCGCGCGCGCGCTCCCGCTTCTAACCGCGAGCGCGCCGTGATTTCCGTCGGGGAATCTCTTTTCACGGTTTTGAGAGGACGGAATTGGCGACGCGGCGGCGAACCGTCGTTGCGCGATTGCGAGTCATCCGCGAGCGTTTCCGAAGAAAATGACGAGACCCCGCGTGTGCCAACAAAGTGAAATGACGGCGGGGTAAAACGATTGATCTTAATAGCGCCTATTTACGGAGAAACACATCGGCGCACGTTTATGTAATACAGTTTACCCGTTTATTTGCCGCATTCAGCGAGCGATGTTTCCTCTATCAATCTCGTAAATTCCTTATTTTTCCCTCCCCCCAGCGATGATTAATTGAGAGGAGCGCTTTCTCTCTCTCTCTCTCTGTACACGTAATCACGACGACGTCTTTGCGCTTGTTAATTAAAAACTTCAAGTTTAGTACGGGGGGGATTGTTTTCTTTTAAATCAAGCGCAAATATTTGCATTGGACACAAATACATATATATATATATATATACATCCGAAAAGATTCGTGTCACATGTCTTCAAACGGCATGGGAAGCGACAGAGATCGGTAAACTCCCGAGTTCTTTCTTTTATCAACGCGGCCGAAGCAAATCCCTCCCCGCGTTCCCCTCAAACCCCTCGTGGGAGCCGTTGGCACTCATCCCATTTCCTTGATAATTCCCATAATGCTGTGGGCGGATATTCCAATAAAGGGGGAACAGCCCCTGGGCACAAAACACTGAAAGCGGCGGACGGCCGCGATTCGTCAGGTTGCGCCACGATTCACGAGTTTGCGAGGATCGAGACAAATAAAGGACTTGGACAGAACCGACGGGCACTCCACAGCCCAGGCTTACGTATAGCTTCAGATTTGTCACGTGGCATGCAGGAATGTGCGATAATTACTCAAAGATGCGGGCCCACTGTGGCCGGGCGCGCGCGCGCGCGCCCGACTGCAATTTCTCCAGCTTGTTCCGTGCGCGCGCGCGCGCGCAAGGCGACGGCCGATTATTAATTCCCGTCGGAAAATCCGCCGCTTTGAGAGGAGAAACGGAAATGGATTCCCAAAAAAAAGGAAACACATCTCCCGCAACGGAAATAAATCTTTGCGTTTGAAAATAAGCGAACACAAAAACTAAAGTAAACAGCGTGCTGACGAAGTTACTGGCACAAGTTCTTTTTTTTTTTCTAATTTGTGTGCGAGAAAAATTTTTCTACACCTAATTGATAAAAAATTGTATCGTCAAATATTAATCGTTAATATAATCGCGTGACGACAGAGCGCCATTAAGAATTCAATAAATAAACCGTTTCAATTTTACAGACGGTATCCGTCTATTAAATTAATCGCACATCCGGCCACTTCCGCAAGCGGAATACACACGCGGCCGGACTTTTTTTGGCGAACGCGGACGCATACCGATTATTTCTATCTCCGACGCCGTTGAAAGGTCAGGCGTCACCGCCGCGTACGATCGACACAACATTGTCTCCGTTCTAATCATAGGTTCGCTCGAAGCGATTAAAGCGTCGATTACAAATCACCTGGTCTAACCAGATCGCAGCTACGTGCGCGTCGATGATTTCGCATTCGCCGACCGTTCTGTTTTTTTTTTTTTTTTTTTTTCCACTCTCTCTCTCTCTCTCTTTGTCTTTTCTGTTATTTTTTATTTCACCTTTCTTTTGTTCGCACAAAGTAGGGTCATCGAACGCGGGAGTCTCGATTCGAATCTAATTACGATCCCGATAATTCCGTCAGCAGGAGGAAATAGTAACTCACCGGAAACCTTCGGGTCAGCTGCCTCCACCTTCATCGCCGCCAGGCTCGCTATTGTCGGCGGTACCTAAAAGAAATACATTACGATGTACAATGCACCGGCGTGCTCTCAGGGCCGTACACGAGCGAAGGGGGCGAAGCGAGCAAGGGGATAAACCATACCCGCACCGCCCACGCGCGGCGGACGCGCGAGATGTTTCCGTAAAATCCTATCGTGCAGAAGACCGGCCATTCCGCGAACTAATCGCGTTATTGCCTTAGGCCCCGCTCGTAATGGCCGCTTAATACTCTTCGTTAACCCTACCGCTACCAACGTGACGAAATTACCCCCGAGCGGATATCTTCGCGTTTTTTTTTTTTTTTTTTTTTGAGCTTTTTAACTCGAGCTTCGATCGTACAGCGCTCGTCTTCTGTGACGATATTTTGTTTGACGATCGAATGTCCGAGAGAAAACGGCGTCCCAAAATTAAAAAAATCGGGAGAAAAAGAAAAACGCGCGCGCGCGCGCACGCTGCTGCTAAGAAACGCGTCGCGCGCAAAGGAGAACGAAACTTTGCCGATGGGAAGCCCCATCGCGGATCGAATTATTCGAATGTTAATGTACGATTTCCGAAGCCCTAGCTGCGATCCCAAGTCGATCCGAATTTATGAGAACCAGTTACTTCATCGTCTTGTCCGTTTTTTTACTCTCTTTTTTCTTTTGTCGAACGTTCACATTTTACGTAAGAACCTTTTTTTTTGTTCGAAACGCGATGTCGCAAGGACAACGGCAACCTGTTGTTGTGAAACTCGATAAAGATTCGTTCCTTCGAAGCGCGCAATTTCTATTTATCGCGAAAGCTCTTGAATTACTTCGCGCATATATAAATATCACCTAAGCAGATTCCATTACGCGCGCCGTGACACATCGCGTCCGCATTATCATTTGACGTGGTTTCTTTGTCCCGCGATCTGATGTACCTCATTCCCCCCTAGTCCTAACAAGAAGCGCCAACGTCGCGATCGAGCGCGCGCGCGCGCACCGGAACAATCGATTAATTCCGTCGAATTTAATAGAACTCGCCTCACGTATGTGCGCGAACCATCGCGGGTCCCCCGTCAATTCCGCAATCTCCAATCAAACATATTTATATTCCTCGTTCACAATCACAATTCTTCCGCGCCCAATATTGTACGAATTGTCGGCGTATCGCGCATAATAATAACAATATTACGGGAGCGACCGTTTCCGGAAAGTTTATCGGCGAAAAACTTCGCGCGCCGCGGCTCCGAAGAGAGAGAGAAGAACGGGAAGGGAAGAAACGCGCATACGTGTTCGTACAGTCGCGTTACATTGTTTTTTGTTTGTTTTTTTTTTGTTTTTTCGAATTAAAAAGAAAAAAACGCGAACGGGGAAAGAAAACGAATGGAAACTAATGTGCATCACGATGTATATAATGCGAACGTATGTTCCGGGGTACTACCACAGGCAGAGGAGAGGGAAGGGAAAGGGGGGAAGGAGCGAAGAAAGAGAAAAGATCGGAATGAGACGGAGAGGTGGGGCGGGAAGAGCGGCGACGCGAAGAGGAAGAAGAGAATCGAAGAGAAGAGACAGAGAGAAAGAGAGAAGTAACGATAAGAGAAAGACGATGATAAAGAAAGAATGGGAGGGGAAAGAAGGGGAGCACGCCGATGAAGGAGGAGATGGAGGAGGGAAGGGTAGAGAGAGAGAGAGCGAGGAGAGGGGCAAAGAGGGTTACGGGAGAGAGTATAGAGGTATATGAGAAAACAATAGAGCTGATTTGCAAACAATAGAATAACGTTAAGACTCGAGTATTATACGCCGTTGTTACTTCTTGTGCCATAACGCCGGAGAGCATATGCCCATTAATATTCAAAGGCGAAAATAATGTAAACGACATGAGAAAAATCGCGGGAGAATAATTTCAATTCTCCCTGTACGGGATTCCACGCGGGCAGACGCGGCGATCCTGTTGGTCGCGGATCGCGGATCCAACGCGGTGTCGTCGTTTCGCGGTGTGTGTCTCTCCTCTGCCTCTTTGGGTGACCCGACGTATGTACGGTAACGAACGCCGTTTCTTTGTTGCGAAATCGTATATATTTGATAATAATATTCGATAACGACAAACGCGATGCAACAAACAAAGTTCCGTATCGTCGACAACTGCTCGTTGTCAATTTTTTGATACAACAAGTAAATATTTACTTGCAACAATAATTAATTAAAACAAGAGATAAAAATTATATAACTCGCGTAAAAATAAATAAAGATTTTCGCGTTCGCAGGGACAAGATAGGATTTGATTTTTTCTGGAAATAAACCGACGATCTCGATTGTTAAGAGTAACAAGAAAATTCGAAGATTCATTCGCAAGCGAATGAATTGCCAAGCGACGGCGAGGTCTCTATCGACTTTTATTGCGACGTGTATCATAACCGATTGTTCGTTGGCTTACGATTCTAGGAAGCGCTGTGAATTATTCTAACACACAGTTAAGCTCGCACACGTTCGAGAGAGCTCCCGTTGCTACTAACTTTTACGATCTCTGACGGGCGCGACTCGAGTCAGATGAGTCATATCGCGTATTGTTTTTGGACAGCTCCCGGTTGTGTCCTCGCATTTGACGCAATACCTATATAGCAAGAATTTAATGCTACTTAAATTTTTTAATACCGCTCCGACAATTGCGCTGACAGTTGCGCCACCGTTTGGAGTTCCTTGTCGACTTAAAACAAATTAACTCTCTCTCTGGAATGTGCCGCAGCTGTTTCGCCGCGTATTATAATACGATTACATACACGTTAATAAAACGTCGAATTTCAAAACTCGATGAGGGATCTAAGTTAAATCTAAGAGTTAAAACGAGATCGTCTTCTTCGCGCGGAACGTCAGAGCTCTCTGGTCTGTATAATTCGGAGCAAAAAACAAAAAAACAAATTACGACGCGCCAATTCCGTGTATACGATATATTAGGTCTATCGGAAAGTTCTGTCCGTTTTTTGTGAAATAAAACAAAATACAAATTTTTCTTAATTTTTCAAAAATGGGATATACAAATTGCCCTCACGCCGGCAAGAAATCATTAATAACAATGGCAATTATATATTATTTAATAAAGTTTATTGACGGTAAGAAAAATTTGTATTTTGTTTTGTTCCAAAAACGGACAGAACTTTCCGGTAGACCTAATAATATATGCGAGTCAAGAAAACTCACCCTGGAGTCTTCCGACTCTTCCCGCCTCACGTTCTGAAAGAGCACGCTGCCCATCTGAACCTGCAGATTCTGCTGCAGAAGCTGCGCCAACTGCGGATTCTGCGACAGAATCGCCGGATTCTGTTGCAAAAGTTGCGCCAACGCAGGATTCTGCACCAATATCTGACTCAGGGATGAGTTCGCCACTGCGTGCAAGGGATGTTGCTGTTGCTCCTGCTGCGATTGATGTTGCTGCGATTGTTGTTGCTGTTGCTGCTGCTGTTGTTGCTGCGGCTGCTGTTGCGGCTGCTGTTGTTGTTGTTGCTGCTGTTGTTGTTGTTGTTGCGGGTTCGGTGAACTCGCGTTTGACGTTTGACAGGATTGCGAGAGGTTTTGAAGAGGTGGAATCGCGCGCTGCGGACTTTGCGGAGTGTGCGGGGGCGTAGGTGGACTTCCGGGGGCCATCGAAGAAGCGTCCTTCTCCTCCTTTATCTTCACCTTCCCTGAGAGAAAATGCAAGTGATTTTCAATGTCGTTTGAAAATGTTCAACTGTTTTTTTAATAAAAAAAAACAAACGAACAAACAAACAAACATCCAGTGTTTTGTGAAATTAAAAAAATAAATTACAAAAGAGATAGAATACGCCGATACGTGTGAAAAGAATGATATTATAATATTTTTGCATAAACACAGTTTCGTAATCAACAATGACAAAGTCGATTTTATTGTGTCGGTAATGACACGCGACCTGAGATTTCTCGAGAAATCCATAAGTGCATAATATGAATGATTGGAACTGGGATAAAGTAGAAAAACAACTCTCTGACATATTATTATTATTATTGTTGACGTCTTCTACTCCGCAAGGCTTGAGACGTACAATGTTGGAAAGAAAACGATGTGAAATAAAAAACAAAAAAACAAAAAAAACACACAACGTCAATCAAGAGCAAGATTTGTTCGTATTCTGCTCGATGAGAGTTAAACGCTCGTCATAAATCGAGTCGAGTTAAACGAACACGAAAACTTCGCGCTCGAGAACCGCGCAAGTTGTCCGATAAGAAGCGGTATAAAATTATAGCGGAGGTATAGAATTACTATATCAGCCGGAAACGATTGAATCGGCCGATATACACATATAATTACAAATTCGAATTATCATTTCTAATTATTGCCTCCTCGAAACGCACATTGTTATTTTAAACGCGCGCCGTTTCAATTGATATAAAAGAAACGATTGTTAAAACCGCGAAACAAAATAGAAGGCGCGTTTGCCAGTTTTTTTATCCGTCATTGTTTTTTATCGCGCGATTGTTGATTGGATAGGGAATTCTTCTACGTCTCGCGCGTTTCACCTAAAAAACTAAAACTTGTGCGAACTTGTGCGGAAATTCTGGAGCTCTGATACTCGCCAGAATTCTGACGAGAACTGACTCCTCGCGATTGTTTTCCTTCATTCTTTCCTGATCTCGGGAAGATCTTACAGAGGGGCGATGAGCTTCCGGATTGGTTCGAGAAAGCAGCGAATAGGCAGCGATTCTCTACGAGGGATGTGCTTCGAAGGTTCCTCGAAGGCAACGACAGACAGAGGGAGAGATCGCGGGGAAAGTTTTTTTTTTTTTTTTTTTTTCCTTAGATTCGAAGTCGTGAAATTGAGACGTCTCTATTTTCTAAAAGCCGCGTAATCGACTGCCGGCAGGTACATCTGCTCTCTCAGCTATTTTCCAGAAGGGGAGAAAAATATATATATATATAAAAAAAGTTCGTGATACCGCGCAAACTATTCTATAGCGAATAGACTTTAATTACTGATCGATCACACGTTGATTGTTTTTTCAGTAAAAACTTCACAAGTCAGTTTTTTTTTTTTTTTTTTTTTTTTTTTTTTGTCAAACTTTAAATTAAATATAATCTTTCAATTCGTTCACGCTTCAACATTTTTTGCGTCAGCAAAATTGCAGGATAATGTCTCAGCAAAACTTTTGATGTAACGAGATTAGATATATATATATATATATATATATATTTTTTTTTTTTCCAAGAAAATATGAACCATTTTGGTTTTTATTGCAACAGAAAAAATGCGTACAGACCGTTAGAAAAAATGGCGGTCCGAAAGCAAACAGTTCACCGGCTAAGATATGAGTAAGGGTTGTTTTCGGGTGGAATGTTATATATTGGGTATAATCCACGAACAACAGATAGATAGGAGAGATGCGTTGCGTTCGCGCAAGTAAACCTTGAGAATGGAAAAGCTCATGGTGGTTGCTCGCAGTTTACGCTCGCAGGTGTGATAAAAAAATGGAAAAGCGAAGCATATAATAAAGGAAGATTCCGAAGGGAGAAAGGGAGCTTAAAAATCCCTTCCTTCAAACAGAGGGAGAAAACCAAGAATCCCCCCACCCTTGTCCTTTCCAAAGGTTAGATCGATGATGTCTACCGAAATTACGAAACCCCTTGGATATCTTTTTGGGGGGGTTTATTTCTCCTCGTTTCTCGCGGTTAAGGTTTCTCTTTCTTTTTCGTTCTTGCAGCGTTTTTCACCGCTGTTTTTTTTTTTTTCGTTAGACGAACGGAGAGCGTCCCGCTATCACGGATGAGACGGATGATTCGTTCGTTCGTTTTCCATCGACTCGAAGGACCTACAGCAATTTCATCGGTCGATGAAAAATGACTATCCGTCGTAATGCGGACTCCCCCGAGAAGAAAAACGAAAAAACGATGACACCGCGTCTCGGTGTGGGAAAATATTTGTTGCGCGCAACGTGTATCGGATAAACGCCCATAATTTTTTGGGAATCCGTCGAGACGCAAGTTTCGATTCGAATATTTCTATATCGTGCGTGTTTGTGCGATTCAAATGCGGGATTCTTTGCTTTTCGTGGGTGATTAAAATATGAAGAATTATAATTAATAAAAACGGAGAAAGAGAGAGAGAGAGAGAAGAATCGCGTCGTAAAAGAGCGCAAAAAAGATTTCAGACTCGCGTTCCGGTATTAAATGAATTCTCATCCTCTCGCGAGAGCGAGAGAGAGAGAGAGAGAGAGATTCTCTGAAGAATCGCATGCGTACGCGCGTTTCGTTGTATCTCGCTCGCGGCCGGGTCTTTAAATTGACTCGATTTTTAAAGCCTAGTCTGGAGAAGATACCGCGCTGCGGGGATTCTCTGTGTTTCTCTTCCTCTCCGGAGAGGACGTTTATTCCTTTCGTCTTTGCTCCAAATCGCCGCGCGCGCGAGCGAGTGTCATGCCGCATCGATATCACAGTCGCTACAGAAAAAACAATGCGTTGTCGCACACATCGCGCGGGTCATCTTTCCGAGATTCGTTCACTTTGCGAAAGTGACGTCGAACTCTAATGCGTTTTTGTAGGAAAAAAAAAAATGTGAATCTAATTAAAAAAAACTGTTGATTTTAGAACTTCATTTTTTTTTTTTGGCACTTTTGTGTTACCGCGCTTCGCGGCTATCAAACGAATAGACACGTACTTGTTAAGAGCTTCGTATAGAGAGATATTGAACAATAAAATAATCGAGATCACGCTCTCGATACGCTCGGGGCTCAAATTAGAGACGGCAACTGACATTCGACCCCTCAACCTCGAAAGTCGTGTGCAAAAAAAAAAAAAAAAAAAANAAAGAAACCGAGAAAAAGAGGCGCCAATACTTTCGTCTCTCGTATTTTCGAGCCCATTTTTACGAGATACTTAAACCTTTAAACGGGTGCGCACCGCTCGAATCAGACGCGTTTTTTTTTCGGGGAGCGTTTTAGGGGGAAAAAAAAAACGCGTTCTCGGATTTCAAATTTCGCAGGGAAATCGGTTAACCCTCGAAATCGACTGCGACACGACTCCGCCGTGCGACGAGGGGATCTCGCGCGATTTTTCTCAGGGGTTAAATCGAGCGTGGCCCCCGGAGAGATCAACGCGTTTTTTTCTCCTCTGCCCTTCCCCCCCCCCCATTCTTCGAGGAGTCGCGCAGGTACCTGATCGTCTACCTGCACGCGTCCATCCCGAAGGAAACCCGAAAAAGCGGAAAGAGAAATATCCCGCGAGGGACTGAGACGCAACGCGAGAGAAAAGAAAAAACCGAGATATTACGCGAGGATTCTCGAGTAGGGGAAGAAATACACACACGCGAAGGGATTTTTCGCGTGCACCTTTTCCTATCGTTTTTTTTTTTTTTTATCTCGTCGGCGCCTGCGGGACTCTCCGCGTTTCCCTTTCGCGCATCCCTCGGGCGGACCGCGAAGGGTATGAAACAGGGGGTAAAAGTGAGTTAATAGTCGGTAAAACGCCGTTTTCTCTCTCTCTCTCTCCGTGACCCGCAGGGGTTCGACCTCCGAGGGCCGGGGGGGGGGGCCTCTTCCTTTACTCCTCTCATCTGTTGCGCGAACGGGTAATTCCTCTTCTGGGGAGACTCGAAAGGAATAGAGAAAAAGATCTTTCGTACGCGCTGCATCGGTCGAGGAGGAAAACCGAGACACGAGGAATACTCCTTTCGGAGCGAGAGAAATCTGAGTAATCGTCGTCGCCAGCTTTCTGCTCTTCCGTTTTGTTCTCGAATTTCAAACGCGTGAGAACATTACGAATCAAAAAACGTACGAGTCCGTTAAATGTAAAAAAAAAAAAAAAACTGTAGACGCAACAATAAACTCGGCAAGATAACGAAATCGGTAATGAAATAATCGATCGACGAAATGTTCCCTTTTTAATCGCCTTTAATGGCTTTCAACACGATTCCTTCGCGCGACGTGCGATACAGTTCTGTCTACGTATGTGTGTGTGTGTGAATTCGGTATTCCAAACACAAAAGTAAGATTATCGGCACACAGACCGGCGGCTTCGGCTTTCTTGTTTCTCGCTAGAATCGAATTTCGAGCGCCTCGTCGTCGTCGTGTAACGAAACACGCGCGCGTTCAGAGCGCCTCGCGTTACGCGCGCCTCACCGCATACGTGGTGGTTAGGTCTTCGTCGCCCAACAACCCGGAATCATCAACGGAAGTAAGCCGGCCGGTTCGCGAGGAACGTGTGTTGTAAGCCGTGAATTCCACACTGTGCCGTGTGGCAACGGATATATACAGGGTGTTTCAGAACTATGGGATCAAACTTCTAGGGGTTATTCAGTGCAACAGTAGAAAACATTTGAGTATAGGGACCCATGTCCGG